ATAACTGCCTTTGATCCGATCAATAGTTTGTCTTGATCGAATACAGGGTAGTTGCTTGTATACTTGAGAAATATTTCTCGTTCCTTGGCAAATAGCTCGAGATATCTTCTGATTACATTCCTCATTCTTTGTGGGAAGTATTCAAATACCTTCATGGTTGTAGTGTAGATAGTGTCGATTAATCCATATTGATGGAACTCAAAAGAGAGTTCTGGTGATGCTTCTTCTGTGATTACTGCTTTGGGTCCTCCTCGACTGACGGGGTAGAAACCCATGGTCGTGTGTTTTTCTTCATAGTTGATTATCATATCCCAGTTGGATATGAACTTCTGAAAGATTGGTTTTAATTGCTCTTCTTTTTCCTTGGTGGTTAGGATGCTCTTGATACTGGGAATCTTCATGACGAGTTTCTGCGATTGTTGCTCTTGATTCTTGGCTGGTTCTTTCATTGCCATCACCTTGTATGATTGTCTATATGCTTCGTCGGCTGTTTCTTTTGTTTTAAACGATTGATGTTGGACTGGTTTGCCGTTGATGTGCTGGCTAGCAAGGGCCCAGTTATGATATACTCCTCGGTATGGTCCATTAAATATGACATACCACTTGCTGCTTTTTCTGTCGTCTTCTTCATAGTGGGAATCTTTTGTTTCTTTTTCTTCTTGTTCAACGATGTCTGCCCATCGTGTCGTCTTTTGTATATTATTGCTGGTAGTGGTGGATGATTGTGTTGCTGTCGACTTTTCTTTTTCAGCAGGTTCTGTGGTGAGTGTTGATGGCTTTCCACTAGTGGAGCTAGTTGTTAATGTACTGACGTTGATGTAGTTGATTTTTAACTGTTGCTGAATGACGTCGATTGATTGAATTATTGCTTCTTCCTCCCCCCTGCAAAGGAGAAGTTGTTGTTCCAGTGCTGCACTCTTTTCCTGCTTCTGCCTTAGTTGATTGATGAGGGTTTTTATGAATCCTTCCATTCTCGAGTCAGCGTGTCTGTGAATGGATTGTTGCTGGACTTGATATACTTCAGAAAAGGATTGTAATAATGGAGTTGTTGCTGCCACCTGATTAATCTCCCTTTGTTGAAATCTGCCTGAAGCTTGTACCTCCAAAAACCTGTTACATATTTAGAGTCGGTTTGAAGTTCAAACCTTGTAGATAATAATTCAAGCTTCCATTTTTTCAATGTTCTGAGACAGGCTAGTGTCTCTAATTCGTGGATCGGATAGTTCTGTTCAGTGGCGGTAAACGTTCCAGAAATATATTTACATAATTTCTTAGAATATTTATCACTGTTGAAAGGAACTGATGATTGAGAACTTGAAAGTTCAATAATATTGTCCGAAGACTGATAATCTTTAGGCTCTTGGCCAGAGACAGTAGCCTCGTTATTGTCTATTTTGACATTACCAAAATTGTCCATTTGTAATAATTCCTTACCATTTTGTATTGCTAACATACACCCTGCCCAAGTGTCCTTAGAGGTATCCGTTTGAATTATTAGAAAATCGTTTTCACAAGGGTTATATAATTTTGGTAAATGCTGACATTTTTCCTTCATTAATAAAACTATTTTTGTATCTTGATCATTCCATGACCAAGGGATTTTGTCAGAAATCTTTTTCTGTAAATGTTTTCTCTCTTTTGCTAAATCTTTTAAAAATCCTTGTTCGCTTATATAATTTAAGCATCCAAGAAAACGTTGAATTTGTTTTCTATTTTCAAGTTGGTTTGGGAATTTATCAATTTTTTCTTTAGTGTTTGGTGACAACTCAATTTCACCCAAATTATTAATCTTCATACCAAGATATTCAATTTCTCTTTGAAGAAGTTTCGATTTCTTCTTAGAGATAATTAGACCTTTTTCTTTTATTCTCTGTAAAACTATCAAGATTTTTTCATGATGATCTTCTTCTGATTGATTTGTGAAAATAATAATATCATCAATGTATGCTAAACAGAACGATTGAAAACCTTCTAATACATGATCCATGAACCATTGGTAAATAGCTGGTACTTGTTTCATTCCAAATGGGAGAACATTCCATTCGTAATGTTTTTGTGGTGGACATGAAAAGGCTGTTAAAGGTTTGGTATTCTCATGTAGACGAAGTTGCCAATATCCAGATTTAGCATCTAAACTACTAAACCACGTTTGACCTTTTAATCTTTCTAATATATAGTCTTTCCTAGGTAGTTTATAGCTATCTCCTATTGTTTGTTCGTTTAGTTTTTTTATAGTTTATTACCATTCTTCTTTTTCGTCTTTTGATTTCATTATTATTTTCTACATAAAAGGCTGGTGCACTGTGAGGACTTTTACTTTCTCGTATTATACCTTTTTCAGCTAACTCTGAACATTCCTTTTGGAATTCTTCTACATCTCGTTGAGTATATTGAATTTTGTTAGGAACATTAACTTCCATTTTAGGATCTTTTAGTTTGATTTCGATAAGTTCTTGATTGGTATTTTTATCTTTATCTAAAGGATGTTCACTACACACCTGGTCTAAAGTATCCTCTAGAATGCTATAGGTAATCTGTATATATTCTAGTCTATTTTTGAGGTTTTGAAGTACAATTTTTAGCACTTCATTTTTTGTGATTATTCTTGTTGTGATTATCTTAGATTCCTGGTCTATTGTTTTAGGACATCTAAGGCTGATTGTTCTAATCCTTTGGATAAATGGTTGATATAATTTTAGAAAGTTATTTCCTATTATTATATCTAGTCCTGAGTCATGTTGATAGATTGTTTTAGCTGTGAAGATATGTTTTTCAATGATTATTGGTACATATTGTTTTACATACCAAATTTCATGAATAGATTTGTCTGCCACTATAATTTTTAAAGGTTTTTCAAGTTTATCCCATTTTTTTATGGTTGATTTTTTGGCAAAACATAAGGTTGCCCCTGTATCAATATATGCTAAGAAGCTTTTCTTCTCTATTTCAATTTTAATAAATGTTGCGTTAGGATTGCCCTTAGTTAATACCTTCTTCTGACTCATCTGAAGAGGTTTCTGAGGTTGAAATATATTCAATAATTTCTATATCGGAAAGTTCAAAATCTGTTTCTTCGATTGGTTCAAAACCACAATCGTAAGCTAATCTAAGGACTTTTTGTTTTCTAGTGTTAGTATTTTTCTTAGGACATTTATTTGCGTAATGTCCTTCTTCGTTACATAACCAACATCTACAATTTGTTTTTCCTTTAGGACAGTATTCTTGTTGTCTTGATTTTTGTTTTAACTGGTTTCTATTTCTGAAATATTTATTTGGTTTTCTAAACCTATTTTTTCTATATTCTTTATAAGGTATTTTTCTCCATTTTTTATAATTTCTATATTTTTTCCGAGTTTTAATGATCTTACGATCATCATTACACCCATACTTTCCAACTCTGTCCATTGTTTCTTCACAACAGAGTTTAATTTTAGCTTGTTTCTTTAGTTTTTCCTTATTGCAAGCTCGTTTATGCCATTCTTGTAAAACTAATATTCGTCCTCCTAATGTATCTGGTATTTCTTCTTTTGCCAAAATTTCATTAAAGATAACTTCGACTTTTTCAGAGACATTAGGTGGTAATTTAGCATAGAGTAATTTATCTAGCTCTTTTCTTATCGAAGGGGTGACTTGATAATAGTGTGTTCTGAATTCACAAATAAATGGTTCTAAGAAGCACATATTGCAGATTCTAAGATTAGTTAAATGCCAAATAGCTTGTTGACTTACGGTTGTGTTTGGTTTATCTTCTCGAGGATGTCGTCCTACGAATTCATGAGTTATTGCATTTAAGACTTTTTCAAAGGTATTCGTCGCATCCGTTGTTCCATATAACGTTGTCTTAGTAGGAATATCCATGTTGTTAAGATAATGATAAACTGCCCCAGTTGTTTTATATATTAAGAAATTAAACATTTCATTAAGGTGTAATTTCTTTAGATCTTCATTAGTTTGTATTAGTAATCCTGTTCGATTTTTCCAGTCTTCTAATTCTTTTAATGGATTGACGCAACAATCAAGATCTAATATATCAGGACTGTTAAAACTAGTGGTGCAATATTTTGGTATGTAAGATTGAGGTATTTTACTCCATCCTCCCCCTTTGCGAGGTGTATACGAATTTTTATATAAGTATTCATCAAAAAATAGTTGACCATCTTTATAGTCATTAAAATCACGCTTTCGTGATGTTTCAACTTGATCCTCAGTTTCAGTTTTTGTGTAATTTGTATTTGTGTAATTTTTATAGGGGTTTTCGTCGCTACTATAGTCAAGAACTATTTTATCGTTTTCTATATTTTCTTCTATCTCTAGTTCTGATTCAATAGTAATTGCGGCTAGTAAATCGTTTAATTTATTAATTTGTTTGTCAATACTAGTCATAGAAGTTTGTAGGGTGCTATGATAGTTAATGGGCTAGATTTTCCTGATTTATGCTCATTCAAATATTCTTTTATATCTTCAATTGTAATGCTCCTTTTATTATCTAATTTAATTATTATTTTTTGAAGTTTAATAATGATTTCCTTAAGATCTTCTACCGGTAATACTATTTCCGTAGAATTTGGAGTTGTTTTTCCCATTGCTATTTCTCTTTGTTTTATATCCACTATTATATTGGTAATTGTATCCTTAGCGTATTCTAAATCTGAATATATATCTTTTTGTTTTTCATTACCTTGATATTCTAATATTGATTTTAATTGTTTATTATTGTCTTCTAATATATTTATTAGATTTTCTTGATATTCATCTATTTTTTTCCTAATTTTTTTAGTTTTATCGAAATATTTTTAGTAGCCATAATTTTGTCTATAAGGTAGATACTAGTTCAGCCATTTTAGATACGAATTAGTATCTGCTAATAAAAGGGCTTGTTAGCATTTTAACTTTTGCGTTAAATGTACCCTTTCCATTTTTATCACTTTGTTATATAACCCTTTCCATTTTTATCACTTTGTTATATTTTACATCAACCTCTTATTTCACCGACCAGGCTTTCATATCACAAGATCCGGCTCTAACACAAAAGGACTCGCCAAAGGCAAAATGCACCAACACTGCACTGCATCTACCATTCTCGCAGATTCACCTCGCCCTTCAAACGTTCACCACCACACCACCTGCAAATATCACATTGTAGTTAATTAATATATATAAAGCTAAAGTACAGATTATTGTTGCCTAAATAGTTTCATTTTATACCTTAATTTAATTAAATTACAACTTAGTAATCATAATGTATATTTTACATTTTGGTACTCCATATTTAATTTTAATGTAAAATCATTAAACAATCATGTTTTGGCATCTTAATTTTATGAGATTTTCCTACCTACAATTTTTTAAATTTACATATTGGTCCAATATTTAGATTTCACTTGAATCCAATCCACCAATCCTTTTGAACCAATCCATGAATCCAATCCACCATAACATAAAAGTATAGATTTAGTTTGTACAATACAAGATGTTGTATCACTCAACTGTAAGAGAAGATTTGACCATTTCATATTTGCTCATTACATGAAATATTAAATAAACGATAAAACAGAGACGACTCTCAAATATTGCAACATCAAATTTATAAACTCATTTTGTACATTTACGGGGTACTAAATAAATTTCTACGGTGAAAAGGGTTGATTGTTGTACTAACAGCCAACTAAAAGAATTGGTCAAAACCTTTCTATTATCTACTTCCTCCTCTTCGTTTCATTTTTCACTCGACTTCCATAACCCTTTTTAATTTCTTTGTTTACCTTCTTCGTCTAACCCTAATTGGTATACTATTTTTATGTATTCTAATTACAAGTATGAACACTATTTTTATGTATTCTAATTACAAGTATGAACGGGTCGGGTCATACACGACTCACCAACAATCTAGAAAATTAATAATTGAACCATTAACTTTCTCAGCTCAATGTCGAGTCCAATTAAAAATAAATATATATGGTTATTACTTATTAGAAAGTCGTCATCTTCGAATATGGGATTTGAAGGCGTTGAATTTTTCACTCGGGCTAGAATTTTCAACAATTATACATGGAATGTTGGACTATGTATCTACACATATCAAATAAATAGTTTTCATTTCCCTATAAAAAAATAAATAATTATCATCTTAAATACATCACCATAAAAAGATATTAAGCCTCAACTATGCAAATTATAATTTGGTACCTAAACTTAATAGATCTTTAGATTTATAACCTAAATTTGTTTTTTTGGTATATAAGTCCTCAAAATATTGATGGAACATTATATTTTAGTACCTATAATTTTAGTGTATTATATTTTGGTACCTAAACTTTTGAAGATCTACAAATAGGTCTAATTTGTGTATGTTGAATTAAAACACCGTTGAATAGATGGGTATTCATACTCAACTCATACACATTTAGATTACGTAAGTAAATATAAATACCCTACCAAAACACATATATATGTCACTCATACCCTACCTATGATCAATGAGTCTACTTGAGTTTAGCTATATATCATTTACTATCCGAAAATTTCAAAATATTTTAAATTGGATGTTGACCGCCATATATCTCCTCAATCAATATCATAATTTTAAGTCAATATTACTAATACAACTGCTAATAAAAATTCATTTTAGACTAATAATACTAACAAAACACTATAAGGGACCACATAATACATGCCCATATGTCAATGTCATCTCGGCTCCGCGACAAGACGCGAATCACCGCCTAGTATCAATAAATCAAACCCCTCTCCGTCAAATGGAATGTAGGTGAAGAGAACAAGTTGGACGTACCATTGGGGTGAATGACCTGGCCGGTGATGTAAGAGGAGCAATGATTGCAGGCCAGGAAAACATACGACGGCGCCACCTCCATCGGCTGCCCAGCTCTCTGCATCAGTACTTCCTTCCCAAAGCTCGTCACTTTCTCCTCCCTGAACGAGGCCGGGATCAAGGGAGTCCATATCTGACCCGGAGCAACGCCATTGGCCGTGTAGTCCAGCAGCTCCGCGTTCCCCTTGTAGGCGTTGATCGACGTCGTGTTGATGATCGCGCTCCCTTCATGTATTTCAGAGCATGCCTGAAGAGGGTGGGAACAAATTAAGAGGATCAGGAAAACCATGCCGACACTGTGTTCGACGAAATGTCCCACAGAGGGATAAATTAGAAAATACCGGGTCATGAAGAAGTAGGAGAAGATGTTGGTGCGGAACACGCGTTCTAGCCTTGGCTCGTCCATTTCTTCCACGGTGCTCGACTCGTACTGCTCGGCGTTGTTGTTAAGGAGGATGTCGATCTTGCCGTAGGCGTTGGCGACCTCGTCGACGGCTCTCTTGCAGTTCTCATCGAACCCCAAGTCGCCAGGAATGGCGATGGGGTCCTTGGCGTCAGGGTTTTTCGCCTTCTTCAGCAACTGGAGGACGTCTTCTGCATCCTTGTCTTCTTTCCCCTTCACGAACGTGAAGGCAACTTTGGCGCCTTGGAGTGGCAGACTGCTCGCCCGATCCCTGAATCGCCACCCGTCACCAGCGCCACTTTCCCCTGCAGTGTAAGCACCCCCCATAACCAAACAACTCTGATCATTTGCAATTCGAAAGAGTAGTATCTCAATTGACATACATCAATGTCGTGGGTTATTAGCTGGTTTGAGAAAATATTTGAGCATTATAGGTTATTCTTTCCATGAGATTCACTGTAATCTATATCTCCAAAATTAGACCAACATTTTCGCAAAAGGGGAAGAATTAACCTGAAGCTTGTTTGAGGGCTTGTAATCAGGGATGGAGAACTGAGGGGTGGGGTCCATAACATGTTCTTTCCCAGGCTGATCCTTCTGCTGTTGGGGAGGGAAAGTCTGATCGCTGCCACCCGAAGCCATTCTCACAAGCTGACACGATCTGGAGCTTCTGTGGCTCGCAGGGAATAGTAAAGCCGGGAGTAGTGCTGTTTTGTAGTAAGTTCTGAACAATGGGATGATTGATCGAGACGTGGAGACGATGACACTAACTTCCTAGACAACAACATTCCCTTTTGTAGCTGAGAAATCCTTAAAGAAGGGGACTTCTCTATAAATGGAAAAAGGCAAGGATGACACGTGGAGATATAGGTGGCAGGAAGCAGGACCGTGTACGTAGTGAAAGAGTCGCATGCAGCGGACACGTCTGTGGAAACGGGACGCTATTCTTGGACGTTCTCTCGTTCGAGATCAGATCGAGAAGAAGGATGACTCTCAGGTACTCATGTTTTGGCTTATTCGGTAAGTGCATAATCTCCTTTCTTTGTAGTGTCCAGCTTCAGGAATTTGCTGCACATTAAGATCGGAACGTAAATTCTTGACGTATTACAGAGTGGAAAAGCTTAAGTAGTGATCTAGAATGTTTGGTGGAGTTCCTGAGGTGGACTAACAAAGGATCTAAATTTCCTCTGCATGGTTGCAACGTGGAAAGTACTTGGGTTTTGTACATCTGTCAATTTCAGTGGCCAAAGACCAAGGGCAATACCTTGTAAGCTTTTTCTCAAACCCCCAAGAGATTATATAATAAGTTGGAACATGTATGTATGCTAATTATACTCTGTTTGGATCCTGAATCTTGTCATTTGAAGCCAACACAGTGTTATAACCAGCCATGGCTAGTCTCAAATCTACCATCTTCTTCTGCTTAATTCCTCCTTCAAGCCCTCCTTTTGCTGCCTTCCTCTGTCCATGCCAAAGATGGTACAGTGTAATTGATCAATTTCCTTTGCTTTCCATTACAAAGTTTCAATCTTTCCATTCTCGGAACATGTATGTATTATATACGCAGATGATGAGAACAATCTTCTCCAAGGGCTCAACAGCTATATAGGCAGTCTCAGAACCCGCCGATCCTGGCAAATAATGATAAGGCAGGGTGTCTGGCCGACCAGATAGCCAACAAGCTCGAGGACCAGCCCTGCCCTGCAGGGAGAAGTGTTGTCGTTGCCCAACTCAGCAACTACGCCAAGTCAATGGATAAGTGCGACATTGGGATCAACCGGGAGTTATGCTGGCGCCTGCCGGTGTGCGTCTGTAAGTTGGTGCCAATCCTTGTCCTTGCACACTACACTCGGACACAATTCGCGAGGTACGTCGACGACACCCGGTTCGTCGGCGCAGGGCTTGGTGGTTGTGCGTGCTTACTACTGGGACTCCAGGCAGGATTTTTGCCCGAGCCCACCGTTCGATCCCGATGGCAGGCAGGGTTCAGTGGGTTTTCGTTGCTGGTAGGAATGCTGCTTTGGCTGTTTGTTTGAGATAAAAATGGAGGGGACTTGTGATTTTCTATGTTTTTGGGCATCTGTTTTAGAAGTGATGTGGTTGACATTCATGTAAAGTAGTGGTGAATGTCTGATTAACTTGTCTTTAACGTGACGATCCAGACCACATTGTATGAATTCCATCCCCAGTTTCCAAGTCTCAGGGATTAGTAAATCTCAGTGTTCATTAATAGATCTTCACTAGGGTAGGGTGGATACTTTCGCTTATGTGGAATTTTGGTTTCTTCGTCTAGTGGCCCTAGAATCTTTGATAAACTTTTGCTGCAGAATAATAAGCTTTATCCATCTTCATGTAAGATTAGGCTTGTCCAAATCAGTGGGCCAATTCGACTAGCTAAGCATGAAGCTTCCAAGTTTTAGGTCTATCCCTGATAGGCATCCTATAAGGAATGGCACAGTTTTGCTCTACCAAATTCTGGCAGTTCTGTTGGGGTGCGTTTGGATAAGTGTATTTTAAATGTAAAGTATTTGAAATACTAGCATTTGAAATGAATGTATTTGAAGTATTAGCATTTGAAATACATGTAATTCAAATTCATTGTTTAGATACTCATTTGTAATTTGTTTGTATTTTTGTATTTATGATTTTCAATTTCAATTTTTAATTTTCTGGTCACTTACTACAAATTTTGGTAAATTACAGTTTGGTACCCAAAATTATTTTTTCTTACAATTTAGTACCTAAACTTTTAAAATTTTACAAAAAGGTCCTGAAATTTTGATGGTAAAATTACATTTTGGTACCTTTATATGTTTTGCATCACACTATAGTACCTAAACTTTTCATATTTTACAAATAGGTCCATTCTTTTGTTAGGAGGTATTTCAAATCACTAGTTGTTGAAATGTATTTGAAGTTGACAAAAAATACACTAGACATGTATTTGGAAATCACCCCATGAATTTGACACAAATCCAAATACCAAATGTAATTAATATCCAGACACATGATTTGGTATTTGAAAATCCAAATCACAAATACCAAATCCAAATCCTTGTATCCAAACGCACCCTTGGAGGTTTCATGTTTGTTGTTTTATGCTGCCTGGTTCTGGCTTGTCGGTTGTATGATGGAGGAGGATAGGAAAGAACCGGGGGCTACTGAGCCCAATAAGCCCAAAACGAGTTAGGAAAGTGCCGTGTAGACTGATTAACGCGCCGGCCACCCAGGTTTTTTAGAACCGATCGCCGCGGTGGCAGCCGTCGTTGAAGACCCTTTTATAAGGACGGACAACGGGACAAGGCAAAAGTAGAAGAAGAAGTTGGTCACGTTTTTCAGTAAATAAATACATAAGCGTCATAACGCCACGCCGATACATAAAATCCAAAACCCCGTTACTCTTTCTCTGAGTTTCTCTACTGATCTCTCCCCGTCACTTTCTTTCTCTTCCCATACCGTATGATCCCGAACCTCTGCAACATCGGTTTCCTTCCTCCACCTGCCAACCTCTCTCTCTCTCTTCTCATTTCCCACATTTACAAACAAGAAAACGGCACTCCCTGATCAGCTCTCCTTCCACATCAAATTGCTCATCTCTTTTCTCTTTTTTTGGGGAAGCGAAGAAAACAGAGGGCAGCGATGGGCGATTCCGAATCTCTATCGGAAGCTACATCTGGAGCAATAGGATCGCTGCTCAGCACCACGATTTTGTATCCGCTTGATACCTGTAAGACCAAGTATCAGGCCGAGGTTCGCGCCCATGGCCAGCGCCGATACAGGTTTGAGCTCTTCCTCTCCCTCTCTCTCTGCTTCTTTTTTCTCTTTCGCCTTTGTGGTTGATCTGATCTGGGCGGCGGCGTCACTGTCTGAATCTTGTTTTTTGGTCGATAGGTGTGACCTTGCCGTCTAGTTTCCGAATTTCCCGAATTGGGTCGATTCCGATACTTTGGTGTGGTTTCTTGGTGTAGAAACCATCAAAGAACTGCACTTTTGTTTTCTTTCTTTCTGGTTTATTGAGTTTTTGGGTAAAAGGTTCTGGGTTTTAGCTTATTCTGTTGTCAAGGGGGATTGATTCGATTGAAATTCAACTAGCTCGTTGTTATGAGAATGGAAAGCTGGACATAGTTGAGACCTGTAACCTCATATCTCTCTGATGAATTTCCCCTGAAAATCGAGTTGGTTGGCTGCTTCTGGTTTTAGTTTTACAATGAATTTTCAATTCTTGAGCAGCGGAAGACTTCTTCTTGAGTCATGATTGAACAGCTGGAGATTTTGCCACCCTCACTTTGATGTTAAGTTTGTTGCTATCTTGGTTTTCATTTTGTCTGTTTATGGTTTTTTCTTTTTTCTTCTGTAGGCATCTATCAGATGTTCTATGGGAAACAATATCAAATGGACAATTCCTGTCACTATACCAAGGTTTAGGAACAAAGAATCTCCAGTCCTTTATCTCGCAGTTCGTTTACTTCTATGGATACAGCTACTTCAAGAGACTGTACCTTGAAAAGAGCGGTTCTAAGAAGATTGGAACTAAGGCGAACTTGCTTGTTGCTGCTGCTGCAGGAGCATGCACTGCCATTGCCACACAGGTGAATCTGACCCTCCATCATCATACGAGAAACAAAACCGCTTTCCGGTTTCGTTGTGTATATCACCTCATTGGTTTGGTTGTTATGTTGCATTTGTAGCCATTAGACACTGCCTCCTCGAGGATGCAGACCAGTGCATTTGGCAAGTCCAAAGGGCTTTGGGACACACTGACGGAAGGTGACTGGAGTAATGCATTTGATGGCCTCGGTATCTCTCTCTTGCTGACGTCGAACCCTGCAATTCAGGTTGGTGTGACTGGCTTCATTAAAGTGATTTTAAGGGGTTGCTTGAATGTTGGAAATGTTCAATAGAAAAGTGATGGATTGTCACAAAGTTTATGGATTTGAAAGATGGATAGATTATAGCACCTATGGGTTATGTTTGGATGTTTGGACTGAAGTACAGAATTTAATAAATGGATTGTGACTAAAAGGTAACTGAATTCAGCATCAAAACATTCTCTAAGTGAATCTAGAGGAATGAATTCTCTAAAGCTTGTGCCTACTTGTTTGTGTGTAGTATACAGTGTTTGATCAGCTCAAACTGAAGTTTCTGAAGGGGAATCAAGCTAGCCTTTCTGCATTCACAGCATTTCTCTTGGGTGCATTGTCGAAGAGCATTGCTACCTGTTTAACTTATCCAGCAATCAGGTGCTTATGAACCCTCTTCTTTAAACTCAGGTTTCAAGTCCGTGGTCATCATGAGAGAGACGGGAATAAGCAAACTCGAGACCTGTTGTTATTTCAGATGCAAGGTGATGATTCAAGCTGCAGAGGCCGACGAGAACAATCACAATGATGATGATGATGCCGAGAAGAAGAAGAAAGCCAAGCGGAAGGCAAGCAAGACACTGTCAGGAGTTGTGTTTGCCATATGGAGGAAGGAAGGAGTGACAGGGTTCTTCAAAGGACTGCACGCTCAGATCTTGAAGACGGTGCTGAGCTCGGCTTTGCTTCTGATGATCAAGGAGAAGATCGCGGCCACAACTTGGGTTGTTCTACTTGCAATCAGAAGGTCACTCTTGGCTCAGAATGGTAGGCTAAAAAGTGCTTGAGGTAGAGTAAATTATGCCATGTAGTTGAGGGGGGGCTTTGATGGTTTTGTACATATTCAATAGCTCTATGAGAAAGGCAGAAGCAATCCGAGTATAGTTTTCCAGGTTCAGTATCCACGAACACACAGAGCTGGAATCAGCTTTAGAGAATAAACACTCTTTTCATTCAACCGAACCTCTTTTTGGAGGTTTTCTCGTTAGTTAAGAGGAATAATTTGACGAGAGCAACGTACAATTTCTGAAACTGAGGCTGATTGTTGGAACTGTAGGACATTTTCATTGTTTTTGGTGTTAATTGTTTAATCTTGTTCGAACCCACTAGAATGCCAAGACGATACAACTTGCCGTGTAACCATAAAATTAAAATTAAATCGATACAACTTGCCGTGTAACCATAAAATTAAAATTAAATCAATACAAGTTAAGGGTAGCATATAATTACTCTAATAGTTAGGTTTTAAATCGGAAGGGAGGTCCACTGGAAAAAAGTTTCGGGAGCTCCGTAATTTTTGGAGGGCGATTTGACGAACGGCGAAGACTGCAAGGGTTTCAACCGATTGGAATGCCGGTGGAAGCAGTTCCGCCGGCCGACGGGGTCATGGAAGATGCCTCCTCGGCAGAAACAATGGCTGGACAACGAAGGCCGCCATCAGCGTCATCCTCCCCTAACCCTAAGGGGGATAAAGAAGCGCAACAAAGCAAAAAAAAACGTGTCAAACCTACAGTGGTCGAAACCCAAATGGTGAATGACTCCGATGTGCAGTTTGAGGACGCGGCTATAGAGCATGAGCAATACAATGATCATCGCACCAAAAGCCCTAGGCCGAGCGCCTGGGGAGCGGGGACGGGGGGCTGCCTGTCGCCAGTTTGGAGACCTGCAAAGATCAGATATTTGGTACGTCGTCGAATCGGATTCGGAAGATGTGGCGGCAAGCATCAGGGAAGACGAGAGGGAAGAGGGCTTTGTGGATGATGATGATCCGCATTGCCCACTTATCCCCTTCACCGCAGCTGAAGAGAGGCAGTACTGTAGGGAATGCCAGTCCGCACTGGTAGTCAAAGCCCTAAGTCATAGGAATTTCGAAGCGCCTCAACGATCTCTGGGCAAGAGTGGGAGGAATATAATACAGGTGTCCTCGACTAAGAATGGTTACTACATGGTTAGATTCATCAGCGGGATAGACTACAAGCGCGCTCTAACGGGAGGTCCTTGGATGATGGGAGACCATTACCTTACGGTGCACATGTGGGACAAACACTTCCGACCATACAACCACGAGATCTCCTCCATTATGGTCTGGGCAAGGCTGCTGGACATCTCGATACACTTCTTCCATCGGGATGCGGTGATGAATATTGGCAGTCGAATAGGTAACCCTTTACGAGTTGATCAGGCAACAGCTACAGGAGCTAGTCTTGACTATGCTCGGGTGTGCGTGCAAGTGGATTTAACCAAATCGTTGTTGTCACAATTCAAAATCCATGGGGTTACGTACTACATTCAGTACGAGGGCCTCGAGAAAATCTGCCTCAATTGCGGAAAGTACTCGAACGGTCCAAATGCTACTGTACAACACCACCTGAATCGATGGAGGCTGAAAGTACTAACTCAAGGGAGACTCCCCAGCCCAAAGAACCGGAGAAGACATACGAAGAGTGGATGATTGCAAAGTGTCGACCAAGAACAACATAGAAAGTGAACCCGACCTAGTCCAAGGATACCACGAACATCTACAACAGATTTGTCCTGCACAGCGGATCACGCTTCAATGCTCTGACTGAGGAAGGTGAAACAAATATTGTCACTACGGAGGCTGCGGGAGGGAACGGTAAGGAGACAGCAGGAAGGGGCATCCACTCCGACAACCCACCTAGTAAACAACGCGGAACTAAGAATATGAGTGCGCTACACAAAGAAGTTGCGGCGAATAGTAGGAAAGAGAAGGACACAACTAAGAAGGGGACCAACGTAGAGACCGTGCATGGGGAGAATAATCACACCGCAAAACCCATGCAACCTGGAAGTCGGGAGCAAGACCCGCGCCAGGATCATGCAATAACCACGAGTCAGGTCTCAAGAGGGTCAGGCTTCCAAACGGTGTTTTCTATGACCTCAGAACCTATCCCACCTGGGAGAGATACACCTGGCAACGATGGGGAAAATGATCAAAACAATCAGACCCTTTCATCGGCCGCATGGGGACTACCACCGAACCTGATGGACCAGCTGGCGCAAACCAAAATGCCAACAGAACCTCAACAAGAGTCACCAACCGAGAAGTCAATGTTGGACGGGGGAACCCCGCCCTATGCGTAACTTAAGGGCGGGGAGTAGGAAATTTCTACGTGTTTATAAGGAGTATAAAAGGAAACATAAACCGAACATTGTTATAATAGTTTGAGCCTCGTATCAGTGGGGTTACTGCGCAAGATGTTATTAGAGAAATGAGGTTTGACACCAGTTATTGGTGGATGCTTCTGGGTTCTCCGGGGGTATCTGGCTACTTTGGAATGCGGCGGAGCTCACTATTACTTGAGTAGATACTCACGTACATTATATCCATGTGCAGGTCGAAACTCCAGGAAGACCAGATGAGAAATAGAACCTCACGGCGGTGTATGTCAGTCCGGCTCCGATGCAGTGTATACAGCTTTGGGAGGTTCTCAGACAGATTGGTGAAGAGCAGGAACGACCTTGGCTCTTAACGGGCTACTTCAATTCAATTCTACACCCCTCTGAGAAACTGGGAGGAGCCCCTTTTGATGCCAGCCGAATCCGGAAATTCCAAGATTGTGTCAACGACGTGGGGCTGGTGGATTTGGGGCTCACCGGGCCTCCCTTTACTTGGTTTAGAAGTGGAGTTCGGGAGAGACTTGACCGTGCTTTGGCCACTAATAATTGGATGCTAGCCTTCTCGGAGTCTTCAGTGCGCCATCTTCCCAAAATAAAGTCGGACCACAAACCGCTCTTTGTGTCGACGAACTCGTCCCATCAACGGGCGGGGCCAAAATCATTTCGCTTCCTAGCGGCCTGGTTAACTCATGAGTCATGAGAGCTTCACGCAAATGCTGCAGGAGGTGTGGGCTAAAGGAGACTCTTTTCTACTGTCAGCTGAGGCCTTCGCTAGGGACGCGTCACACTGGAATTTCCATATTTTTTGGGAACATATTGCGAAGAAAAGATGTTTTTCTGAAAAAAATAGAGCAGCTGGAGCACAGAGATGGCACGCCCCAAATCGCCGTGTAACTTGAGAGGGTTAGGGAAGAGCTCGAAATGGTGTTATTTCAAGAAGAGCTTTATTGGTGCAAGAAATCGAGACTAGAGTGGATTGCTTCAGGAGATAGGAATACAACTTACTTCCACTTGGGAACAATAAAGAGACGTAAGAGGAATAAGATCCTAGCTCTAAAGAACATGGAAGGAGATTGGGTCGACGATAACGCGGGTCTCCAGCAGCTAGCGAGGCATTTCTTCGAGTGGTTGTGCACTTATGAAAATGAGCTTGCTGTTCCGCTGGCGAGAGATTTCCTAGTGCTAGACGACACAGTGGCAAGGCCTCGCAAACCAACCTTCATCGGAGAGCATTCTCCATGATGTTTTCTCTATGGGAGCCTTGAAGGCTCCGGGGAAGGACGGGTTGAACCCTCTTTTCTTCCAACATTGCTAGGAGACGATCGGGGCTTCAATGACGGATCACACGGTGCTGGGAGGAGCCACTCATGATCCGAGACATTAACTCGACAGTTCTAGGGTTGATCCCGAAAGTAAGTTCTCCGACAACTATTGAGCAATTTCGCCCTATCAGCTTATGTAACGTTGCTTACAAGGCTCTTACCAAGATGATTGCGGAGAAGCTGAAGCCTCTAATGCCTCAACTGGTTCATGAAACACAAACAAGTTTTTGTCTCTAGGTGCCATATCACGGACAACATATGTATCTTACAAGAAGTTTTCCATTCCATGCGGGCGAAAAAGGGGCAAAAAGGTTGGATAGTGCTGAAAGTTGATCTCGCTAAGGCATATGATAGGATCCGTTGGAAATTTGTCCGATATACGCTACAGGCGGCAGGGGCGCCACCAAAGCTGATTGAGGTAACAATGGCTTGCATTATGACATCCACCATGGAGATACAGTGGAAAGGGGGTTTGGCCAGCCCGTTCTCCCCATCACGGGGCCTTCGACAGTGATGCCCTCTCTCACCCTATTTGTTTACTTTGTGTATGGAACGTTTGTGGCATCTAATTAGCAACTCTGTTAGGGCTGGGAGTTGGTAGCCTATCCAGTTGACCAGATCAGGCCCAACCCTTTCACACTTGTTTTTTGCAGATGACCTCATAATTTTTGGCGAAGCATCGACGCATCAAGCTCAAGTCATCCTCCAGTGTTTCGAGAGTTTCGGAGTTGCCTCGGGTCAGAGGGTCAGCAAGCCAAAGTCTAGAGTATTCTTCTCAGGCAACGTGACTTCAGAGAGGAGGGCAACCCTAAGTGCTGAGTTGGAAATCCCACAAACTGCCAACCTCGGACGGTATTTAGGCGTTCTGGTCATCCACGACCGGGTCTCCAGGGCGACCTACATTGAGCTAATCGACAAGGTGGACAAGAGGCTAGCGGGATGGAAGGCTGACTTCATGAGCTTGGCGGCTCGCATCACGCTCGCCCAATCGGTGCTCTCCTCCCTTCCATCATACACAATGCATACTTCTTTTCTTCAGGCTAGTGTTCGAGACTACATTGACAAGAAGGTGAGAGCGTTTATATGGGGTAGCACAGACGGAGGAAGACTCATTTAGTGGATTGGGACACAGTCTGCATACCCAAGAAGGAGGGTTGGGAATGCGCTCGGCTACCAAGACGAACGAGGTGTACATGCTAAAAATAACGTGGAGGCTCACCACAAAATCCGGACGAGCTATGGGTGCGGGTAATCCTCAACAAATACATGTGATCACGGAGGAAGGTTGGGTGCCGCGCGGGTCAGGAAGACTATCAAATCTGTGG